TCTTATTATTATAATTGTCAAAAGTATTATCCTTCGATCCCGATTGTTTAACCGTCGCAGTGAGTTATATATAATAAGCTAGAAAAATACTATGTGCATTCGATGCCATTTTGAATTGGAAACTATGTGATATTCTGATGGGTTTTTTTTTTCCTTTCTCTTCCGTGCAGCTCTATATAAGTATCGTTCAATACATACATGCATATATACATATCTATATAGTACAAAATTCTAAATACTACGCTCTATATTCATGTATGGTCCACATATACTAGATTCGTGAGTAATAGTTCGATTCGTCCAATGAACGGTATATAATTATGTGTATGTAAACATTATAACATCTGGTTAATAACTGCACTCGGGCTTAGTACACAAATCAAACATACATGAAAATTTTAAAGAAGTATTGTATGAGTCCATGGACTTTCGGGTCATGTGGGAGATGTAGTCGTGCTAAAAGTCCGGTGAACTTTCGGATTAACAAAAAAAAAAAGTATTGTATGAGTGGTGTGCTGCAAAATTTCAAGTTTCTTGTTCAATTTCCTAACATTTTGGATTGCGGCGATTGTATACAAAAAACCATAATCTATATAAACATTGGCGTTACATGATGAACATCCAAGCTAGAGAAATGAATATTTTTATTCAGTGCCCATGTACGTACGTAACCCCAACAAAAGAAGAGAAGTGGTATCCAATTCCGTGCATGCATGATCGTGACTCGTGAGCTGTCTTCTTCGAAGCACCTATATGGGGGAAAAAGAGAAAGTGTGATGAGATTATCAATAGATCTTGGACCCAAAAACTAGAAGAGACGCCACTTTATTTTATGTTCTTCCCAATTCTCTCTCTCTCTCTCTCTCTCTCTCTCTCTCTCTCTCTCTCTCTCCCCATTGTTTAGTTTTTTTACAAAGAAGGCAATAGTATCTTCGCAGATTAAGGACCACACTTTGCATATCGCGTTGCACATCGATCACATGCAGAGCTTTTCTCTTTAGAATCTTATTTGGTCTCATCTCTTCGCACACATGTAGCGTCTCCTGTACCTGTTACAGTGGTCTTATAATCATTGCGTGATGAATTTGTGTGAGAAAAATTGTGGTAATTATCATCATCACGTACGGGAATGATGAGTTTTTTTTTTCTTCTTTTTATGTTCTGTTTTTTTTTTGTCAAACGAGGGAGTTTATTACTTGGAGATCGGTTTTAGTTACACGTGAAATCAACAAGCATTAACCATATAATTAATCGAATTGGTTAAGATTTGCGGAATAAACCTTATTGTATTATTTATTCCACCAAACAATATATATATTTAGACATAAATATAGAGTAAATATAATCTCACTAGGACCCTAACTCTAATCTTTTTTTTTATGACGGAGAACCCATAACTGCTACCATTCGTATGCACTGACTAGGTAAACCTTCGGTGCGGGAACAACCTTTGTATATGGACCATATAGACCAGAAATTACCTCTCTCCCCACCAGTAAGAAATCGAACACTCAACTTCAAGGTGGAATTACCTCTCACCCCAACCTTGACCACTCGCCCACGACATGTTGGGTAACCCTAACACTAATCTTGTTAAGAATATAATTATGTAATAGATAATTCTCCATAACTCCATATATATATATTTCTCAATGGAATTTGAATAAAACAATTTGTAGCTATGTATATATCGGATACCTATATATCAGTGCGTAGAAGTAAAAAAATGCATACTGATATGGACGTAAATAAATGGTCTTGCATTAGTTAACGAGACATCTACTGCGTTACTGTTTAGTATTAATGATTTATTTGACTGAGTTTCAATTATTTATTTATTTATTTTTTACCGTCGGAGACTTCTTGTTTTGTTTTAAGCGTCCATCACTAGATTTAATATTAATGTCTCCACACACGCGAAACACATACTTATCTTCATTTCATACCTATGGGCAGCCACACACACACATATATATACACCTATAAAATTACATACGTACTTTTCATATAATACACACGCATATGAATCTACATACATATGGATAACACACACACATATACACATACGTATTATTTATTTACAAGCGCGCACACACAAACACACGTATAAAAGCGTACACACACACACACGATCTACGTACGTTCGTACATATATATATATAAATACACATGCACACAAATTGACAAATATACTGACACATACATACATTTATTTATATCCACACGGACCACACGCACATATGAATCTACATACATATAGGTAGTTAGATACATACACAAACCTTTTATATCTACGCGCACGTAAAGATTTTCTTCGTATACATACATAACTACAAACCGCATCGTACGGTCGAAATATTATATAAAGAAAAAGCTTAACGGCGATGCAGTTTTAGGAGACGCGCGCCGTTTATAATTACAAAAAGAAGCCCCAAAAAATAGTCGCTTTATTTAAAAAGAAAGAGAGAAAGAAATTACTATGAAATCGTGTAAGTGACACAAAAAAAAAGAAATAAAAAATTATTTACGGGACAATTTGAATAAAAAAAATGGTTACATTGTTTTATTTTTAATAGTCATCATGATGATGGATGATGATGATGATGATGCGTGAGTGTTTGTTCTGACACGTCAATTTATTGTGACAGACATTCCCATGCTCGAGATTACGTTGTAATCATTAATCAATGTCATGACAGGAACCTTAGTGGATCAAAACAAAAAAACGACCAAACCAAACCAAACACATCATCAAACATGAACGGTCAGATCCGATGACCAGTCAACGTTGACTGACGGTGTCTACCGTCGGATCTTCCACGTCAGTGAATTTAATACTCTTTGTTATTTTAATTTCAAAATATAATTGCTGTCCATTTGAGACCGTTAAAGATAATTGAATGCAAAGGAAGGGACCAAAGGGAGGGGGAATTAAAGATCGGATGGTCCAAATGAAGTTGGCCCATGAGCGCCAAATACACGACAGCCGTTGGATCAACCGGAGATCTCTTTCCTTAGGACCTTGTGGATGAGATCACACCGGTGAGAGAGAGAGAGAGAGAGAGAGAGGACCACTTCTTTCTCCGAGTTTTATATATTGGGATTTATTAAAACCTATTTCACACATTTCTTTTAATGAAATGTTAATATATTATCGTCTCAGTTGAATTATTTTTCTCACAAAATTCTTGGATCTTAAATGCTAATATCTGATATATATCCACAAAATATGATTTTTCTTATGTTCGAACAGAATTGCAGAATCACGACTAAATAATTATAATATTACAAAATGAAATATAGTATCATCACATGTAAAAGAGTGTAAATTAGTTCGGAATAAATAATTTTGAAAATTAATTACCGTTTGCTATGAATATTTCTCAACTTATATTGATGTTTTTTTTTCTGTCATCTCAATTTAAGAATCTACGAGATTTGACCGCGAGTGATTTTATTTAATTTTAAATGAAAAAAATAGAGAAAGAAAATTAAAAAAAAATACAAAATACGAAGAGGGGGTAAAACAGAGGCATGATTTGAAAAGTGGGGACTTACTTATGTGCCAAAACATGGGACTGAAAAGATTGAAAGGCAAAAAATCAAAATTTGTTTGTCTATTTTGGGGTCATCCACTAACACACAAACTTTGTTAAGAGAAATAAAAATAAAAATAAAAATAACAAAAAGTTATAAAAAAAATTTGATTGATTTGGTTTCAGATATTTGCTCCTAAAATTTCCCAAACAGCTTGGCAAAAGGGGAGAGAGCTTATTTGCCTTTTCCTAAAGCAAAATTTCTATAAGATCCTTGTCCCCCTATTTTCTTTTCTTTTTTCCTTTTTTTGTTTAATTTCTATTTATTTTATTATTTATAAATATCTATAGTGGGAATAAAACTAAAAAAAATACGAATCCATATATTTTTATATCGTTCATATATAGAAAACCATTTTATAATTTATTTGGATGAGAAATGGATCCAACGGTAATAACTCCCACCATAGTAGTTATGTGATGTTTGTTTGATGAGAACCCTTTTCTCCGGGGTTTTAACTAATGGTATTTGTTTTAAATCTAATGTGAATCAATTAATAATAATATTAATCAGCCATAATATAAAGCATCTATTTTGGCATTCCAATAATAGCGTCTAATGAATAAATCCCACCTTTTTTTTAATATTTTGTCGGTCTACTTTGTGTAATAACGTATAACCAATTAACGTTAGGCCACGAGTTTCTCTATAAAAGTTTGTTTTTTTTTTCAAAAAGAAAATATGTATGCGTTTGGAATTATATTTCCACCGTCAATTGAAAAACCATTCAATTTGATTATTAATTCCATATGAAATCATGGAATTATTGAGACGTTTCACACTCGTACCACTTTAACTGTTGATACTTAAATTAAAGTTGACAATTTTTCGCAATACATTTGGGTCCATGGATATAATTCATTCACCTGCAGATGTTGTTCTTTTTATAATTGTGGTGATAATATACAATATTTTTTTTCCTTTTTGATATTATTAAAGATTGATCGAGATGACCAAATGAAAAGCATGCACGATCGAGTTACTATGTTAGTAAAAATTCGAACCGGGATGTATAAATCCAATCGTTATAACTTATATCGTTATTTATCATCATCATGCACAAACGCACACATGTATATGTATATATATATATATAGTATAAGAAAATATACTCAAAATAATGGGAAAATCATGTGGCGGTCGTACATTTTGCAATAATTGGAAAAAGGGTCAGTGAATTATTAAATGCGCAAGGTTTCAAAATCTGATGAGTATATTATGTAAATAAGTGGTCCAATTTCTGCGAGACTTCTACTAGGGAATGAAATCATTTCGACAATGAAATCTCCTTGAGACACTCATTGCAATTTGCAACCCATTTCTCTCTCTCTCTCTCTCTATTTATTGTTACGCACTTAACCTAATTAAATAAATGCAAGGAATTGAAATAAAATTAATTAAGAAGAAGAAGAAACCCTTCATTACACAACCCTCTACCAAAAATTTGGGACGAGTACCGAGAAACAAAGTCATTATACCTAACTAGAGAAATTCAAATTGAAAAAAAAAACAAATAAAAAAGATGTCACTTGGAAATATATTTATATATAAAAAAGAACATATAATATAAGATGTACAAAGTAGGTCGTCGAGCATGCAAGTGAGGGTCCCCCTCCTCCTTTGGTAGATGATCGATCATCAATTCCATTTCTTAATTTCAATCACTCTCTCACTTCCAATTTGCAATCGCATCTTTGTGGTAACCATTGCCACGACGAGGACGAGGAATGATCATCGAGGCTTTTCCCTTTTTTTGGCCATGCAGTTTCAAGATTTCTCAAAAAAGAATTTGGAAAATTAATCAAAGTCGTCGAGGTTATATATATATATATATATACCATGATCATGATCATGAGGACGACATGCTATGTTTAACTTCTTGTTTCCAACACTGCTCTATGTCTTGAGATATTCGCTTCGCATCCATGGATGCCCCGAGAATCCCACGTTTCGTGAACCCAACCGCATATAACCCGCATTCCCCTTTCCACCCCCCCGGGAATGGTTGCTTTGGAAACCCATCTTTCTCTGAAAACATTTTATTCTCCTGCAATAAAATTATTATTTATGTAAAAAAAGAAAAGAGAATCAATTCTACGGCTAATAAGGAAAAAAAAAAGCAGCAAATGATATATTTTATATAACCCATATATATGAAATTCTCTAACCCCTTTTTAATTTTGTTTTTTTTTTCTCTCTCTCTCTATTTCAAGGGAATTTTACTAAGAATCAAGAAACACGTTGAAGATCTTTTATTTTTGTTCAAGACAAAAAAAGATAGGAAGGAAAAAACAGGGATTTAATCAATGATAAATAAAGGTACGTGTATTATTGTTTACCTTTAGCCAAGAGGGTACGTTGCTTTTGTAGCCAGTTGCCAATATTATGGCGTCAAATCTCTCCGTCTTCCCGCTAACGAACTCAACTTCGTGTCGTTTTAGCCGTCTAATCCCCGGACACACCTTCACAATCGATAAACCAATTCTAATTTATGTTCAACCGACATATATAATTAATCATGATCGAAATTTCCATACATGTGTATATATATATACACACACCTTGATGTCTCCCGCTTTGATCTTGGCGAGCGTTCCGACGTCAAGAACCGGAGTTTTTCCCGATATATTCTTGAGTTCTAAAGGGCCTAACCGGGGCCGGTTAAGACCGAACTGGGTGGTGTCTCCGAGCATGAACCGGGAAACGACCAAAAGGAGCCGGTCCACGAGCCGGATGGGCAACCACTTGAGTAATAACATGGACAACCCAAAAGTCGAAGAACCCAACATCTCTCGTGGTAGGACGTGCACCTTCACGATTAAATTTCAATAATAAATAAAATTTAGAAAATAATACAGGGAAATAATTGAAATGAAGAAAACAAATAATATTTTTACAAGATTCTAAGTTTTTTTCGCGCGTGCTTCTGAGAATCCCAATAAAGTGAGTGTTTTATAGTTTAGTATTATCTGAAAATGGGTTTTATGATGCATTTTATAGAAAAGAAATTAGGTAAACCTTTTTTTAAAAATATATTTAACAAACCGTTGGAACTTGGAGCCACGAAGAGGACCTAAACAGTTAAAGACTAATTCTAAATTAGGATAATACATGTGTAATTATATAATATATAATCAGCCTTTTTTCATGATACTTGTTGTTTTTATTTTTTTAAATTTTCTACAGAGAAATAACAATAACAAAGATGTTTGTTGAAATACAGTTCAATAAGCAAAGACTATATTTATAATAATATTCAGTCTAAAGAATTTTAGTTTTAACAGCAAATATATCTTAGATAGTGTTGGAATATTTTAATTTATAATGTTTTTTTTTTTAAAGGTGAAATGCTCCTATACATATACATACATATATATAGAAAAAGAGAAAGATCTGTGATAACGAAGTAGGTATGTTGGAAGATCAAGTTCAATCCAAACTAACTTTTCTTTTCCTTTTTTGTTTTGTTTTGTTTTGTTTTGTTTTTGTTGCTGTAAGCAAAAAGAACTCTCCAAACATGAAAGAGCCAAACATCAGAAACTCCAAAAAAAAAAAAAATCCCCTGATTTTTTTTGTTTCGCTGAGATTTTCCAAGAAAATCGAACCAAGAAAATGAAAATGATAATAAAAAATAAATAGATAGATGATGATGATCACTCACAGTGTCTCTGACAACAAGAGAAGGTTGAGCGCCGAAATTGCAGAGATCCAAACAGACCTCCATGCCGGAGTTTCCACAGCCCACGACCAAAACCCTTTTTCCGGCGAGCTCTCCACCGCTCTTGTAATGACACGTGTGCCTCACGTCGCCGGCGAACTCCTCCATCCCCTCTATCTCCGGCAACACCGGCTCCGCATTCTCCCCCGTCGCCGCAACCAACCACCTGCAGACATACTCCGTCGTCTCCTTCCCCTCTTCCTCTCCGTCACGGAGGCGCGTGGTCCTCACGCGCCACATCCCGAGGCTGGCGTCGAACTCCGCCGCCGCTACTGTCTCGCC